TTACTGACTGAGATGTTTTACGACTGGAAGCACATGTCAGGTAGAAAGTTGGGTTACTTTTAAGCAGAAGGAAGCTGATTTAACTCTTGTGGGAAATTGTCATGCCAAAACTTGCAATTGCACTGAATTGTGAAACTACCGGGTATTCCTCAAATTATTGAGAGTTTTAAATTATAATAAATTTTATTTCATTACTGATTATTGCATTTGTTTTTCTCATATTACAATCATGACAGCTGTGGAATTTTGTCAAGAACAAGATGTTAAAACATGACATGTTTTGTCTGGAAACAGCTAGCGAAGAAGATGGTACCCCTGCTTTGTTGCGAGATTGTGATGAAAATAACTCCAATCAGGTACTCAACATTACTCAGTGTAACATTGATTTTATCATCTGGACAGTGAATAACAGAGGATTAATTGAGTGACATTCGTTGCCACACAGAGAAGTGAAATACACATAATTGTGGACATCCGGCTGAAAATATCTATTTTGTCATGTAATAACACCTGACATGTTTGAATCTTTACAGTGAGAACAGATTGCTGCTGCTGAATATTTGCCTCGTTCTGTTTAAATTGCATGTTTATTGACCTCAATTCTGCTTCAGTCCATAAACACATGTGCAAAAAACTTGGCCAATATCCAACCATCTAGACTTTTCCACTTGGCCCTAGGATCAAGTTTGATAATGTTGCTTAGGAGTAAGCAAGCCAGTTTTCTCTTGATTGCATACTAACATGTTTTCATTCTTCTAATTTACTTCACTTTACAGCACTGGGAGTATGACAAAGGATCTAACCGGATTAGGCATGTTGGCTCGGGGAAATGCTTGGACAGCAAAGATCAGAAAGACAAAGGACTTATTTTAAATTCTTGTAGTGATTCTTTTACTCAAAGCTGGGCATTTGAAGTGACCCTCTAGCAGAGGTGTCAAAAATTTTGTACAGCTTATTAGGATACAAGTTTTCAAGTTTTGTACATGAAGTACAGTTATGTATCTGTTAGTTCATCCTGTTGTTGATATAAGAATTAGCTGGTAAAATATTTTTATATAGGGCATCTATAACTGATTTTGCATACAAAATTTACATAAATAATATTGTGTTTTATTTAAGAAAATTTTAGTTGAACATAAAACAGTTTTTTAAATTTATTGCTCATTCTTTTACCATTCACTTTTCTTTTTCTGGTGTAAAGAATTTTTTGAGAAAATTGAAAAAGATGACTGGTGAAGAGATCATGAAGAAAAAGCATAGGTGTCTGTTTCTCGAAGTACTTTTATTGCACGCTAGGGAAGCCTCATTCTTTTGTGCCTGGACACTGCTTGCAGTTTGTTTGTTCTCTTCTACGTGCATGGGCTGAGGAACTTTTATCCTCCTGGACATAAATGAGAAAGGCTGTGTGGATGAGAAGGGGCTGAGGGGAGATGAGATCATGCCTGCAGCACTCTTGTCTCATCCGCTTATATCTTTTCTTGTCATAAACGCTTGCCCTATAATCACTTTCTGATTTATGAGACAAAAACAGACTTCACTTGTTGCAGTGTCACTGATGTGCAGCACCTGATGGGTCACGCTCAGGTAGACATCAGTGACACTTATCCATTCTAAATGTATTTTAGATTGATCCTTATCATTAGTATCAAACTCTTAACAGACGATGAATCATATATAATTATATGAGGTGACTAAACAAATCACAAGTATATGACATTGGAAAAGGAACACCTACTGTACAGAGTGTTTTGGTTATACATATAAAACTACAATGGGCGACAAAAGTAGTTGAGACACTTTAAGGAAATGACGCTTTTCGATATTTAAGCACTGGTTCTATTTTATTTGCATCTAATGTTAATTCTCTGATACCCCCGCCCCCCCAATTCAATATTGTGTGTGGGCGCTGTGGTCTGTGTAGTCTAAGAAATAGAAAAATCAACATTGTTTGGGGAGGAAGGGGGAAAAAATGTCCTAGACACTTGAAAATTGAATTTTACTGCCAAGTGTCTCAACACTTTTGTTGCCCATTGTAAGCACATAACCTGTAAAAACACAAACCACAGACCAAGGGTGCATATGAAAACAAGATGTCAATGAATGTTCCTTCAATTGTGTATAATTATGTATTACTAGGTACTGTTTCTTACTGAATGATTCATTGTCAGTTGAATATGAGAACTCAACAGTAGTTAAATTAAGTGCCTTAGTGGAAGCTTTGTTAAGCTGACACCTTTGCATCCAGAAGAAGTGTCCAGTTCAGAGAGGTATTACTGCACCTTGACTAAGAGGGTGCATGAGGACTTGTTACTGTAGACTTCTCCATTCACTTATAGGAAAGCCTGTTAGTGGAGATTCAACTAATATATTAAGGAAATAATATCATCACGATAGCAATTTTGTTGTATAATTAAACAATGGTTTACAAAAAAATATTTTTAAATTCCCATCCTCAGGTAATTCATTTGTAGCCCTCTGATTGGTTCACTGAATCGTGGTTACGAGCCATAATTTTATACCTTTGTCTGACTTACATGGAAGTGCGGCAAGTCCCGTTTATCTGAAAAAGTTTTGGTGGTTTAGAAAGTTCTGTCAAAAATATCGGAAAAAGATTTCGGGAGTTTTGTGGTGCCATTACATGGTAAGTACAAGAAATACTGTAGTGGGCAAATTTCATTCCCAAGAAACAATAAAATTGTTAGTAGTCTTTCACTAATAAGTCACGTAAACAATTAAATTCCTGATCCCACCATGTTAACTGTACAAGGCATGTTATTTTCCGCTAGGCTATTGTTTTAAGTCTTCCAGAAAACCACTCTTGTTTGTCACAATTTTCCAGAATTTTAGACTACTTCAAAGGATATTGTGCAAAAAATATTTCAGCATGAAACTCTGTTTTGCTCTTTTTCTTGAAGTGCTCTATTCAACCCTAAAAGTGAACAACCCACAACCAATATTTTACACCCTGTCACACCATCACTTTGTGTAGATCATACTGAAATGTCCTCATTATCCAGTCAATTGAATTTAATATGACCACTTATTCCATTTGGTCTTGTTGGATACAAGATGATTATCTCAGTGCCACTTGCCTCATTTGTTATTTATCACCTCATATCCAATGCAGACTCAGGACTGGAGTAATTTTATTGCAGTTATTATCGATATATATTGTCAAGTTACAGCTTATGTAAATAATCTATTAATATGTAATTAATAAGTAACATTGAGTGAAGTAAGACATCAGTCTTGTCGAGCTTAATCATCAAACACAGAGTAATGAATTATTCACTTCATGTGTACGAGAGGAAAATACACCACTTATGTCTCACTTTAATACCTGGTTAGTTATTGGTTATAGTAACTCCTCTCGCACATTTCTTGGATGTTGATTGGTCATATCAAACAGAACTAGACAAAATGCCTTCCAAAATTAATCAGAACCTTGAGGTTCTGTCAGAAAAACAGCTGGAGATTTTAAGCAGAATTGGTCAGTTCTACAGTGCCAGTAGTCTCCGCAGCAGCTGTTTTTTGCGTGACATCCCAAAAGGCGGCTGCAGAGGAGACTACAGTGCCAGTGGCTCAGTGCATCACCGTAGTTCAGTTGGGGGAGGGGGCAGGTGAACGGTACTAGTCTTCATCAGGGGTTTAAAACTGTGGTTTTGGTCTCACCCATGAAATCTTTTAGAGTTGCTTGTAATGAAATAAAATGCCGTAAGTTATTCTCTGCTGGTTGCTGTAGTCGTTATATAATTAACATGATCATTTCTTGGTCTGTCATAAAAAAAATTATTATAATGGCATTTTTATAGGGTCATAACAGTCTCGAGTGTTTACTCATGGCTAAAGTTTTCCTAAAAGCATCCCTACCACTTGTACATGGGAGTCTCTCCCAACCTCATCCACCAGTTTCAATCTTCAGCATGGATATCTGATGTTTTTGACCATGATACCTTAAAATTTTGGCACATCTTTGGTGTGAGCTTCACATGAAATGCACTTTGATTGATCAGAATCCTGCTGTAAGAACATCTCTGCTGTCCTCTCTGTCAGGACCAGGTGCTGTGCTTGATCTACATGTATACTGCGAAGACTATGCATTGGCCAACATTCTCCCAGTATAATAAATATATTAACTAAATAAATTACAATATTTAGAGAGTAAGCCTCATCAGCCCTAGCTGGTTTTCATGCAGGTCCTCTATTGTGGTTGAATTGGAAATTGGAAATGTTGGTTTTCCTGGAGGGAGGAAAACCTGAGAACCCAGAGAAAAATCCTCGGAGCAAGGCTAGAACCAACAACAAACTCAACCCACTTATGGCACCGCGCTGAAATTGAACCCAGGCCACATTGGTGGGAGGCGAGCGCTCACACCAGTGTGCCATCCCTGCTCCTAGTTGCTCTACAGGGTCGTTAAGAGCCAGCTGCCAGTTAACTTCACTGGATGAAAGAGAACTTAAATCTGACTCACATTTCACACAAGGAGAATTAGACTTGGGAAAACTTTGAAGCTACCAAGGGCAGAAAATCCAGCTGGGCTTGTTAATGAGCTAGCTGAGTGTTTCCGTAGTTACATCTCTGGGTTAACAAGAAATATTAATTATTCAGTTACTATGCCACTGCTCTTCTCTCCAAGACATGGGTATTAACAAACAAGAATAAAGAAAGCTCCAGAAACTAAAATACCACAGTAGTTTTACTTTCACAAGACAATAATTATTATTCTTCCATATCCTTGCCAAACAAACTGTTCAGTTACATACATTAGCGATCTGGCAATGTGAGTTAATTGTTCGATTCCTTGTGTGGACTCTCCATAACATATAAGCTATTAAAAGTAATCAGCAAAACACACATCACTGCGGTAGGTCTCTCCCGATTATTAACATCCAAATAGCATGATTATGCTACTCATCGCCACATAACAAGTACAGTATCGCGGATACAACGAAAAATGATGCATTGTTCCTGAGTAAATTCCTTGTTCCAAATATCGTATTCATTTCCTTCGCCTTTCCCAAATGGCCTGTTTCCTTCTCTTGTGGATCATTTCTTTCATATCGGGGTTATTTTCAAGAAATTCCTTGAACTTGTCCAGATGGAAGTGTCCGTTTTGTCTGAGAAACAACCCCTCTTGTCCATTTCTTTGCCCCTTGGTTGGATCTTCTTCAACAATTTCCACAGGTTTGATCTCCAGGAGATGTTTTACAGATCGTAAGGCGCCATTTACTGTCGGTATGTTCTTGTGAATTATAGTTTGGTGCAATCTACTAAATCCTAGAGCCTTAATTGTTCTCTTTTCCCACCAAGGCCGGCCGATACAACTTTTGACCTGAGTTACGGCGTGAAGCTTCTGCACAACTGTCTTCGCCTTCGAGGCCATGTTGGAAAGGCGCTTTGTGGTAAGCGGCTTCCTGTCTAATGATTAGGTACGTTATGTACGACGCTGCCTCGCATTTGCTGTGGTTTGGTATACACCACACAAGCAGAATAATTAGCGGAACAAAACGTTATTTTATGTGTGACAAGCGGTCGGAAATTTTAAAATCTCTCGTGCCGGCTTCTCGGAGGTGAATAGTACTTGCTAATCACCTCCGAGTTAACCAATCAGAGCGCACGAAAAGCACTATTCACTTGTGTGGTATATACTAACACCAGATAGTGGTCAGAACGGGACTAGAACCCGCGACCTCGGGATTTCAAGTCCGGCGCCTTAACCGTATAACCACTCGGCCACGTTGTCTCCACTAAGGGAATACAAAAGGGGAGATTTCCGCTAAATACAAGCAAGCGAACTAGGAGATTTCAGGGATAACTGCCGGATAAGTAAAGATTACCAAACACAACTGACAACTGCCACTCCATTCAGAGAAACAATTTAATAAGAAAACAAAGGAACTGAATCAAGACGAATGCGAAAACTTCCAGCTAAAAACACAGATCAAACATACTGCGAAACTTTCTGGTGTTTACAACAGAAGCAGAAGAATTACAACAGTGGGAGCTCTAAGAACGAAATAAAGACGCGCAAGGGTAAGCAAGGTACTAGACAGCCTGTGCTGTAACCTTGAAAAGATCCTGGGAATAAGGTTATCCGATTCTACGTTCAAGCTTGAAATACTAACGATGATATATTCAACTCCATGAGTTACAACCCTGGGAACTAATCTGTCTTCGCCAGCTCAAGTCTTCATTGTTCAAGAGACGTCCAAAATTCGCCTTGAAGTAATGCCCAAAACAGCTGAACTTGAGCTACAGCAGGTAATACTGTGGCTGTACTGTAAGCTAATAGTCAAGGCCAGTACGCTTTCCGTCCACATGAAAAAAACGGTCTCATAGTAAGTCATACGTTTGTGGTCAAATATTTATGCTGCTCCGAAGAGTTTCCTTTTATGTCGATGGAGGCATCATCACAGCCTTCAGTTTCTGCATTCATTTCTGAAAACGCGAAAAGAAGAAAAGAAAACGTTCATCAACGATGCCGCTTACCTACGATCAGGACATCCATTTAGGAAATTCGAAACTTCGCTCCAAGAATTAATTCAGCCTATCAAATTGCCGGAGTAGATCTTTAAGTGAACTGCACAGAAAATGACTACATTGTCAAACGGGTTTTTTCGTGTGATAACTATTTTTTCAGCACCTTACCTTGATGAATGGTTTCTAGTCGAACTTCTCCAGCTAGAGGGTCGACCCTATTTCTGCGCGTACCCATCATTCTGCGCAACCTAACCCCACTCAGGTTAAATATCCTACACAGGACAGACACTTGTCGAAACACAGAGAGCACACTCTTAAGCTGTCTCCATAGCTTGGCGTCTTGACGTTTCAATAAATAGAACGTTAAGATGAGAGTGGCCAAGATACCTAGACAAGACTGCAAACGTAAGAGACATTACTCATTTTGACCTTCCGTCGCCTTTGTGTCTAAGTTTCTACACTACCTCAAAGGAGCTCAGTCACGGTATTTTGGCCAAATTCAGCTTTAAACTGAAAGAAACCTGAAAATAGTAATTTACTGAGAAAAAAACACCAAAGAGATATTAATAAACCCTGAAGGAACAAAGATGGTTCAGGATGGAGAAGACTAATACGGATTAGAAGCGACGAACTTGAAACATTTAGGCTATAAAACTTTTCAAGATGCGCAAATTAAACCGTGAGGTAGCTCCTTTAGTAATGACAATATACGGAATTTTACCTGACATATAACTGGAATTTCTGGGGCTGATCTTTTTTCTCGCTAGTTTGTTTTTCTTTTAAGGACCTTGAATATCGTTTTAGGCAAACAAGCAAAAAGTGCATCATTCAACTGATATTTGTCGCTGAATTTACAAGACGAACGATGTTGTTTAAACAGCCATTTAGTAAGCCAGATTAAAACTGATCTAACCTGACTAATATACGTTACACTACTTAACACAGTTAAGTTTGTCCTGAGTGGCAAACGTCACTACAGACAAGCTAAGATTAAGTTTGGTTATCTTTCATAGCTTTTAAGTAAAGACACTTCCAGTCCCTGCTAGTTCTAATGACAGCTAAAAAATGTCTTTGGTTGTTTCTTGTTGATTTATTTTTATTTTTGTTGGTTGTTTGGTTGGTTGATTGCTTGGCTGGTTGGATCGTCAATTGGCACGTTCGTTCATTCGTTCCTACGTGCGTACGTTCATTGGTTGGTTGGTTCGCTCGTTCAAAACTTTGACCAGTTTCTAAATTTCTCACCAGAACAATAACAGAGGACGGGTTAAATGAGCCTGGTGGCAAGCCATGAACTCGTATTAGGAATCGGATCGTAAAGTCACAGTTTGAAGAATCGGCATCCACAATCCTGAAAACAATGACAAATAAAATAATCCCTTCATGAGTTTTGACAATGAAGAGTCTCTGCGGGAGTGGAAGACAATGAGGCATAACACAATTGTGACTGAGTCTCCAAGGTCTTTATCTCGGTAAACATTGGCGACGAAAAATTCCTCTACATAAAAAAAACTTCACGATTACTGTCAGTAGCAGCAACAACAATAACATCAACATCATCATCAACAACAACAACAACAACAACTACAACAATTGAATAGCTGAAGCAGCTGTTCTAGTAACAACTGCATTTAACAAAGTGTTTGATACTACTTCTATATATACTGTCCTAAACGGTTCTATGAAGTTAAAAGAAAACACCGCTGTCAATTCTTAGTCAAATTTCAAAGTTTACTTCACCAAGCAGAACAAGACAGTTTAATGATCGCTCACGGGACTGATCGCCTGCCCGCGGGTAACGTCCCGAGGTAATAGGTCCCCTTGTTTCATCCCATTTTCTCCATTACTTCAAATTACCTGTTTGAAAACTCCAATTTGAAATAATACTCAGCATTTCCAGGAAAGTTTGGGCCAATATCAGCACAAGGACTCTGTGTGCCGCACAACCAGCTGAAACAGTTTGAAGCTGTGTCAGTATCAAGTCACTATCAAACTTCTCCCTACTCATCTACATATTCTTTCTGTGACACAGTTTGGGAAAAATGAGTTATATCAAGGGATTATGATCATATTCTCTTGGCTATAGATATGTTATTTTTCCAACCAGGAGGTCCAATACGGACCGATAAAGGCCGGCAAATAACGTGTTTATTTTTTTCTCTACAGTATTGCTTTGAAAGCAACTTTTGTATTGAATTTCAGTTAAAGCCTTCCAGTTCAAATCTGGAGTACGCGTGCATTTGACATTTTGAGCAAAACAGGAGATCCTGTCTTCAGAACTCGTCAGCCTGACTTTTGTATGTGACACTGGGTAGGAAAATGTTACGTTTACCAAAGTTTCTGGCCTAAAATGTCCTTTCTGTGACAATTCTTCGTCTTATCTTCTCTGCCGTTGCTTGCGTTTTCCAAAATTTTTGTTTTCTTGAAGTACGTTAAAATTCGCAATGATAGCTCTCGTTATCGCAATACATGATTGTTTGACTCTGTATTGATTTTTTTTTTTTTT